AATCCATACCAGCAATGGTAAGAGAACAGACATTACAGAGCACACTATAACCATCATTGAGTATACTGTGACCAAACCAACTGTTTGTAGAGGAATTTAAATCTATGAATATTTTTGCATTGTTTCAGTTGTAAACTCTTAAATAACAAACTCACCATAAACCCAACCGATGCAAACTGTCTGAAAAATGGCTACGAAGAGCAGGCACATCCCACTGGCTGCATAGTAGTCAAAGAGTTGGAAGACATACATGCCTCCCTGTGGGTACAGACAGACAGATGGACATGAGTTCACAAGTTTAAGGTAAAACAAATGAAAGACAACCTGCATGACGCAAAATATTGCTTTCGGGTCATTTATCCATTATGTGATTGGATTTTTACTAAAGTGGAAACAATTTGCCAACAACAAAAGTTATTCACAGTTGGCTGTGTCACAGCATGATTTGTGCCAAGTGACTGAGTATGAAGGAATTTTAATAGGTTGCTAAAGAGAAGCTACAGTAGATGAACTCAGGCACTTTAAATGAGTTTGGCAGACTGCTTGGCGACAGTCTGACTTAGAAAAAAAAATCATAAAAAACCCCCCAAACAAAATGCCCCAGTAACTTCACTTAAATTCACAAGGCCATGGATTGGTAGTATTTATGCTCAGTATCACTTTGAAATCAAAGTTATTGAATCAAATGTGATAAAATGCTTATTATGTATGTATTAAAACTGAAAGAATTGCACAAACTAACCTCTGTCAGCATGATGAGGCCCAGGAAGAAGGATACTATTGCTACTGCCAGGATGAAGAGTTCCCTGCGATTTTTACGGCGGAAGACGGAAGGATACATATCCACCACGGCTGTGACCAGGCTCTCCACGCATACAAACTAATCAGGAAAAAAGGCAAAGTTATGAGATGTGCGTACTTTCTGATGTTGTGTACTGCATTTGTGTATGCATGTGCACAGACCAGCTGTTAATAAAAAGGTACTGAGCAACTGAGGAAAAATAGCAGAGCTGTACAAAGGCTACTAGTTAGGATTGTGTGCATATGACTATTATTTGAATTTTCTTTTTGTATGTGTTCTTTTGTGGGTTATTTTGCTACATGCTGGCCTCACCTGGCTGTCCAGTCCTAGAAATACAATCATAATGAAGAAGAAGCAGGCCCACAGAGGGGAAAAAGGCATCATGGTCACAGCTCGGGGATAGGCAATGAAGGCTAAACCTGGACCTGTTGTACACAGAAATCCCACTGAAGTTAGAATTTGTGTTTTTCTTTTCAATCAAGCACATATTTTGATATAATACTGACATGTTCAGTTCAACTGTCTGCGCTTTAGAAAATTGTATTCTGCCATGCATTGATTCACACCCAATAAACATCCTGCAGTACTGATCAATGCACCATATCTTTATATATACATCTATATAGATACATGAAAGCTCTGTGTGTTCCTCAAACTCGGGCCCTCTACAAACCGCCTGGGAGTTGGAGGTTCTGCACAGTATCTAAGCTTTTCCTAGGACTTTGCTCTTCTGGACGGAGACCCTTTGATGTTGTGCCTGTTGATTACCACTACATCTAGTTGGTTGCCAGCAGCTGGAACTCAAAGGCTGCAACACAGGACGTTTTATCTTTGGTAGTGTCTCCTATCGGGACTTGGGGACATCTAGTCTATATTGTGCACAGATTCTGTACGTTATCCCAGCTGGGATATACTGCATCAACTTGCATCTTACATCCTGCTATTATATGTTGGATAGTCTTCACGACACCTTTGTACAGTCTGAAACTTGGGTCCTGTTGTCTATGGTAGATTCCTGCCTCTATGGATCTGATGGTATCTGTCAGAGGTACAGGCCAAGTTGGGGCTTGGTGGTCCATGACGGTTCCTCTTCCTGTTCCAATCACTGTCTGTCTTCAGCTGCCTCAGATCTCAACAGGGGCGGGGGGTGGGGCACTTATCTTCATCCTGCACTGTGACTCTGACACTCACTAATCCTCACCCCTTCCTCTAATCATTTTTCATAGTGCCTCAGGATTTTGGACTTTGGAGACCTCAGTGTATTGTGAGCAATTTTTGTGTCTTGACATCAGAGGCATTTATCTTCTTATGTGGCTAACTTATTATTCCAGAATTGAAATGAATTATGTCAATAGTGCTCAATACACCTCCCACTGTGCTATAGGCTCTGGATCTTCACCTTCACCTTCGTCTTCAACTGCTACAAACGCTATTGCACTCCCATGTGTTGCATAGACCTCTCTCAGTTGGATTAGTACACATTGCAAGTCCTTGTCCATATTAGCTTTGTCCACTACCCACATCAGTATTTACTGGTTTCTCAACCCCTGGCATGGACCTTGATGTACAAACCTATCTATCTATCTATCTATCTATACAATATAAGAACTACAAACCTGATTCAGCCACTTCTGAGATGGGCACATTTTGCTCGTAGGACATGAAGCCCAGGATGGAGAAGATGGCAAAGCCCGCAACAAAACTGGTACCACTGTTAAGGAAACAGAGGGCCACACAATCCCTGCAAACAGCACAACAAGAATATAATCACTGAAAATAAATTGTTTAAAATATTACCGACATTACATGGAACAGAATTACTCGATATGCTCACTATATATGAGTGAGAGAGAGAGAGAGAGAGAATCATTACCTGTAGCAGTTGTTGTTATATTTGTTGTAGCTTCCTAGGGCAGTGAGGCAGCCAAGACAGATGGCAAATGAGAAAAAGATCTGAGTTCCAGCATCCATCCATACCTTTAAACAGAAATGAAAAAAATTAAGGATAAACTCAGACAGAAAAAGAAAAAACTAATGTTTATCAGCTTTCTACAGTGTTGTAAAAAATATTTTCCCCTTCATGATTTCTTTCTTGTTTTTGATTTTAATATTTGTCATAATTATTTGTCATATTTTCATGTTTCAGACGATCAAATACAGTTTAATATTACAAAGTGCAGTTTTCAAATGATGATTTAATTTATTAAGGAAAAAACCTAATCTAACCAAACCTACCCTGTATGAAAACAATGGGATGACCTTAAGAGAATATATTTCCAACAGAATAATCAGATGTCCTTGACAACCAAAGAAAATACAGACAAGTTTACACATTATTTTGGTTTGCATATTTTTGTGTTCCTGAAAGGCTCAGTCCAGTTTGAATGTTTGGAAACAGACTTCAATCCATAACATTAAGCAAGAACTACATTCGCTGTTAATTTGTTTTTTTCTTCTGCTTTGAATTAAAAGAAACCTTTAACACCCACTCATAAAATTCTCTTTAACCTCTTATCCAGTTTGCAGGAGCAGTTGACACTGGACAAAAGACCAGATACAGCCCCACCAGATCACTGTGTGTAAGATTAGGGTAAGATAAGATTGTTTTGCACAACGGCAGCACCACACCCAAAAATGCAAATAGTGAACTCAGTCTTCAAAACCTCCCATGTGCCTTTTAATTTTTGAAAAAAGTCTACAAAAGTACACGTGGCTTGTGTTCATTCCCTAAAGGACAATAAAGGAGGGGTGGGGCGAGTGTTTGGAATTCAAACAAAAGCAAGCACAAAAGAAACTGCAAGTGTCCTTGTTACCACCCATATTCCCAACCCACTCTCATGTGATTGTTAAAACTGTTTAAAGCAACCAGTTGTTTAGTTAGTTTAAAGGCACAAAAATGAGAGACAGGATTCAGTCCCTCATCATAAACCAGGGGTGGACAACTCCAGGCCTCGAGGGCCGGTGTCCCTGCAGGTTTTAGATGTGTCCTTGAACCAACACAGCTGATTTAAATGGCTAAATTAGCTCCTCAACATGTCCTGAAGTTCTCCAGAGGCCTGGTAACGAACTAATCATGTGATTCAGGTGTGTTGACCCAAGGTGAGATCTAAAACCTGCAGGACACCAGCCCTCGAGGCCTAGAATTGCCCACCCCTGTCATAAACCTACAATAACTGGCTTTATCTTTTAGCTGTTCAATGATCCTCCAGCTAGTCCTTAAGTGTGTCAGTCTTCTGCGTGAAGCTAAAAAGGGAAACTTTTCTCAATTTGGTAATGTCTCAATGCCAAGAGAAATGTATTTTCTATCTCTTTTTTTCAGATAGACAGGATGATGGGTGGAGTAACTGTGTTAGCTTTATGTGGATGGATGAGTACATAAAGTCAAATTATAAACATAGAATGCAAATTTGCCCATTCAGTAACAGCCTTCAAAGCTTTATTGTTTTAATTGTGTTGTTCGATACTGAGCTTGCTGTGATGTTCCTTTTTGCTTTTTTTGAGCAACCACCCCAATGTGGCTAGTGACTTTATGAGGCCATAAAAGAGAACAACACAAAGTAACAGTGCACTCAATTCAAAATCTTAAGTGCCGTATCCGGTGTTTGCTTTTGACAAATCTGAAAAGCTTTTCTTAAGAGCAAAAAAGCAAAGCAGTGAAAATCTATCTGAACCTGAAATCACATCTTTGCCTATGGGATGGATCAAACAGTCATGCTGACAATTTCTCGTAAACAGTGGTGACTTTCCAAGAAATTACAAATGTACAATACAACTAAAACGTTTAAAGACGATTCAATACATATCTTTAGAAATTTTTGGTGTTAAAAGCTGCCAGTCTCACAGTGAACCATTAAGTACATGATCAGGCCAACCCTCTACGAAAGCTCTGGGAGTTGAAGGTTCTGCACAATATCTTAGCTCTTCCTAGGACCCTCTGATGTTGAGCCTGGAATCTGTTGAAGCCGTTCTTCCAGTTTTGGGGTTACAGCTCTTAATGTTCCTGTTACGTCTGTTCACGTCTATCATAACTACATTTTATGCTTCTTGTTAACCATCTCTATATATGCTTGGTTGCCAGCAGCTGGAACTCAAAGTCTCACAGGACCTTTTATCCCTGTTGTTCCCAACCACCTTTGGTAGTGTTTCCCATCAGGACTTGGGGACGACTTCTGGTCTATATGCAGCACAGGTGTTCTTGTACACTATACCAATTACTTATGCAGTAGCTGGAATACACTGGATCATATTGCATCCTGCTGTTATATGTTGGATAGTCTTTGCCACATCTTTACACAGTCTGCAACTTGGGTCTTGTTGTCTATGGCGGACTCCTGCCTCTTTGGATCTGATGCTTAAGGCCTGGTGCTGTGCTGCTGTAATCAGAGCTTCTACGCTGCCCTTTAGGCTGGTATTTTTTAGCAATTGGTGGGATTTCTTGATGTCAGCCACTTTGTTTATTTACAGGCGATGTTGGGACTTGGTCCTCCATGAGGGTTCCTCCTCCTGTTACAGTCACTGTCTGTCTTCAGCTGCCTGAGGCATTCTTGGAGCACAACATCTCAGCGGGGGCGGAAGGTGGGGCATCTTCTTAATACATTCACAGATACTCTGTTGTTTAATCCTGGAATTGTGGCTCTGACAATCACTAATCCTCACCCTACTTCTTTTTGTTTTTCATAGATTCTTAGGATGCTGGACCTTGACTGGGGACCTCTGCATTGTGAGCAGGTTTTAAGCCAGTTTATATCAAGTTTCTGTCCTTAACCCAAATTTTATTAGCTTGTCTCTCAGATGCCAGTCAGTCAGTACTTGTCTAGTGGAACAGATGAAAGGCTGTGTTTCTCAGATTTGATCTGCATGCCTGGACATGTGTTTTTCTGACAATGTGAACCACTGTTCACCACCTCAGCACAAGTGTATTGTTTTTTTTAACTTACTTGGGGGTCAGACAGTCGATTGATGTCGGGGTAAAGGTAGAAGTGGATTCCAATGGAGGCCCCTGGCAGTGTTACTCCTCTGATCAGGAGAACCAGGAGCATTACATATGGAAAAGTAGCTGTGAAGTAAACTACCTGGAAGGAAACAAAATTTTCTTGTGATTCTAACATCTTTTAAAACAATTCCTACCATTCAAGGAGCTTTTAATTTCAATTAAATGTGTTATTTTCTCTCCCTTTTTTTTTTTCAAAATGTGACTTCTTTAGTCTGCAAAAATTTCAAATATGAAAAAAGTAGAATATCTTTGGTAGCATTAAGCAGTGCAGATTTTCATTATATGAATTTGGTTAAATGCAAATCTTTGTTTTTCATTTATTACAAACAACAAAAGATTGTTGGAAGACTGGTATTTAATGGTGCATATCAATAACAAAACACGGATCCTGTTCTAACTGTGAATGTTTAGCACGGGAGGGTTTATTATTATTATTTTTCTTTTTTTACCTTGCCTGTGGATTTCACTCCCTTCCATACACAGAAGTAACAGATTACCCATGCAAAGGCAAGACACAGAGCCAGATCCCAGTTCAGAGAACCAATGTGGTCAATACCTGAAGATATTCTCAGTACTCTGCGCCTAAATCGAAAACATACGCACAGGAGAAAAACGAATTATTATACCTAATGTACTGATACAAACCCTTAGGAACCAGAAGCTAAGAGTTAAAAAGCGGAGAGAAACAAAAATAAGACAACTTTGACCAAGTAGTTTGACCTAATTTAATCCAAACCTCTAGAATAATTTTTTGTTTAGTAAATCTATTGGTATGTAAGGTCATTTGAGGACATGGTCAAACAAAAGGACACTTACTCCCAGAACTCAATGACAGGAGAGGTGGTGTTCTCATGGTGATTGATGGAGGTATTCCCCTTCTGAAATGGCATACAGGAATCTTGAATGAAGGACAGACAAAAAGACATTCAATCGTGTGAAGAAATCCAAGCGTTCTCCAAGGTTTCCAAGTTACACACAGGCAAGACAAACAAGTGCCGACACTGAGACAGACAGAAACAGTTTTCCTGCAGCATTCACTCCCTGTATTCAAAAATATAGAAAGAAAAAATCATAAAAGGACGTTTTATCTGCATGCCTAAAAGTAGTCTTTAGAGACCTTTAGAGATGCTGACCTAGGTATCCTTGATTAAAGATTACACCAATAGTATGTGCAGCACCGGCAAAGACTTTCGGCACTTCACATGCTAAAATTCTTAAACATCATAATTCAGTTGGCAGTGACTCCAAACATACAGATACAGATGCCAAAGAACTGTCAGTGACGAGAAAAACAAGGGGTCTGCCCCTTCCACTCCTACTGTGGTTTACATGGATATTAACTGTTCTGAAATGTTGCATATTGTGTATGACAGGTTGTCTACACTTTGAATACAAAAAAATTGTATGACAGAAATGACCAATCACAGAAATTCCATGAGCTATTATAATTTGCTGGTTTCTATAATCTTAACCAACATAAAAATGATCAGCATCCATTTTCTCAGTTTATTGTATCACAACTGTGTTCATTTATATATGTATTTATCTATAGACAGCCTACAGAGAGGGCTTTTCAACCAATCCAAACTGCCCGACATGGATGACACTGTGTGTAGGTCACATTTGCTGCTTTTGTCTATTGAAAAAAATAGATTCTTTTCCATTATTGTTCATAGTGACAGTGTAAGATACTTGAATATTGTATTTATGTATTGTGTTGGAATATGGCCATTAAAGAAATTTATCCCATGTGGACAGCAAAGTCATACACACCAATAAGAACTTTCTTAGTAATATATGATAAACAGAGATACAAAATCTTTATGTCTTACTTGTGTTCCAGCTATTGTTGCAGGATGCCCAGGGCAGATCCCAGGTGAAGGAGTGGAACAGAAAGAAGATGGCCCAGGCTAACACAATAATGTAGTAGATGTTCAGCAGAGCAACAATTACCTGGCTGCCATAACCCAGGCCTGAAACAGAAAACATGCTTTTGGTGATAAGCAATAAAATACCACTATTACCAATCCTTTGACTTGATTGGTCAGGCCAGTTAGGTCATTATTTTTCCACAGTACCTGTCGCTGAACCAACATACAGTCAGGTAACTGTGCAAATGTATATATTAGTAAGTATTGTTTAGTTTAGTTCCACAGAGGCGTACTTTAATATTGTCACATTCTTGTGACATGTACTAGTGGAAGCACAGCTGGAGATGTACTGAATCTGTTTTTGTCACTTGTTAACAGCAGCCTGTAAACACTAAAGCTCCACTGAAGCTAATTGTGCCGTGTCTGATGTGATCCACCCAAACTTTTCAGTTCAAGTAAGGAGAAAGTTTCAGTTACGTGACCGTTTCCTAGGAATAGTAGGAATACTCTGTAGTTCACAAGCAGCTGCTGCAGACAATCACATATTTACATTTAACACATGAATTAGACATATGTATCCATGTATGATACTGTCAACACCATAAAATATCCATAAAATGATTTCTTGGGAAAACAAGTTGATTACCTTCAAACAAAGGGCAGAGTTTCCTCCAGCAGGTAATGCCTCCCTCACTGGTGTACTGACCCAACGCTGTCTCCAGGAAGAAGACAGGGATCCCACAAGCAAACAAGAAGATGAGGTATGGTATAAAAAAGGCACCTGTACACACACAGATTGAAGGAAAAGTTGTTTTCAACATGTCCTCGAGCAATGTGGTGCAATTAGGACTGCTGCATCCTGAAGTTATTGTACACATACTGCAAGGTAAGGTTGCAAAATATTTTCTAGTAAAACATCCTGCTCCAAAGTTATTTTGCTAGAAGTTAAGCATGAGTTGGCTCATTCTTCATATTTTTAAAGGATTTAACAAGCCTGGCCTACTCATTCACTATTTTATTGATTGTCTTGGAATTTCTCACATGTTAGCTCATGTATTTTTTTTTCTTTCAACGCTAATGCATACGATAGTAATTATAAAAAATTATAATTAATCCAACTTTCAAGCAAAGCACTTGTAGTTTATCAGTTTAATTTGCATGCTAGGTAGACTACTCTTTCCAAAGGAAAGGAAATGATGCATAAAGTCTACTACATCTACTAATCTGAAGTGTCTTGTGGCTGTAATCTTGCCACCAGACCCCGATGCAGTGCATGACTGTGTAAATGCAAAAATAAATAATATAAATAAAATAAAAGATATCTCAAGATAACGAGGTAACGAGCAAAAAACGTTCATTGGCGACACTCACCTCCTCCATTCTTATAACAAAGGTAAGGAAAACGCCAGACATTCCCAAGGCCAATAATCTCTCCTGCCACGGACAGAATAAACTCAACTTTGTTGCCCCATTGTCCCCTTTCTGTCATCTTCTCCTCTGTACTGGGTACAATGTCCAGCGGCCTGCTGTGCCCATTAGAAGCTTCCACCTTGGACGTGTTTTCCATATCGTTTGATTGACCTAAGAAATCGAACATAACATAATGTCAGGATTTGTTTTAAAGGCAGACTCAAATGTGGAGCAGAACACAGAGTTGAACAGAGCATAACAAACAAACAAACAACCCACCCACCCCCAAAAATGACCAAAACCAACACAAAGTCCAAGCATCACAATGAAAAGTCACACAAGGGACAAAGTAGAGACGCTGAAAGATAAAGGGAAATGCTATAGTTTGGTTTAGCTTAGTTTACTTTAGTAAAATCTCCCTTAGCTGCAGAAATGGAGCAGCTATTCTTCCTGGTATCGCACACCATGGGAACAAAAACTTCAATAAAAAACTTGCAAATACTAAACAGTAACAGGAACCTAAATATAATGTTTTATGTTTATGATTGGGTTTGGATGTAAATGGTGAATTTTGGATTCAAACATACCACTGTGTTTTTTTTTTTCATCCAAAATGAAATGAATAGATACAGTTGTGGTCACAAGTTTAAATCATTTTGAGAGTTTCTCTAATCCACACAGGGTCATAATTATATCCCCACCCTAATATTTGGTTAAATGTCTCTTACTAACCTCGGCCAGACAAGCTAAACAAGCTTCTGCGATATGGACCCAGCTTTTAAGCCACAAAGTGTCATGGTCCTGAGTCTGAGGACTCGGTGTTTTGTGTTTCTTTCTATTATTCTTTGTTCTCGGTTATTCTGTTTTGTCTTTTGTTTAGGGTTGCTATGTGTTAGTGTTTTTGTTTCATGCCTGCCTGTGTTCTCTCTGTCTGTCCATGGTATTATTGTGTCTGCTCATGAGTCTGCCTGTCAAGTTCAGTGTCCGGTCTGATTCTCTGTGTCTGTTAGTTTCCTGTTTTATTTTGAAAGTTCATGTCTCATGTCAGTGTGTTCAGTTTTACCTCTCCCCTGTCTCGTTAGCCTAATTGCTCCCAGCTGTGTCTCCCTCCTGTGGCCCATTCCCTGATTACTCCCCATGTATTTAAGCCCTGTGTTTTCCTGTGCTCTCTGTCGC